CTATTTCCCAAGGCTTTTTTCTGCTTTTGAAATTTGATCGAGGTGGTTCTTGACGGCTACATACAGGCTTGTGGAAATCTAATTTGACATTGTGGCATTAAAAGTATTCCCCGCGTCTATCTTTGAGTTACAATTACTGATTACCCTACAACAATAACCAGCTCAGTTGGCGGCAGATTACACGAAACATGTTCAGCCATGACGCAAATTTTCAGCATTTTCCTGATCAACAATCCTCTATGAACCAGTCATGGAGACGTCATTAGGACGACGTTAATATCAGTTTTGAAAAATCGGTGAGCAGTGTGACTTTCAGAGTTTTTAATCGACTGAACTTAAATGCAAATGATTATCCTACTGGATTTATTGCTAAATAAGGATGAAGGGCTAAGAAAACCCGCGGTGAAAACAGCAGAGAAGACGCTATTTTTTATCAGGGTCTCATTTTTGTGGGCGCGCGCCAAGCTCACTTCTAAAAAGGAGCCCTAATCAAGCTGTATAAAAACACCTTTCCAGCAGCAGATGATTCTCGGGTTCTCTTATCGTCTAAGTAAACAGAAAAGACGAACTGCAAGCCCATATCACTGTTATTTTCCTGTTTCCATTCAACTGCTCCTTCGGGGCAGTATATACTATTCCAGGCCCAGTTTCTAAGAAGACGAGAGAGGACATGGGAAGGCCAGATTTTAAGGAGGAGTGCGTTCTCTAAAGAGGATAGGATAATAGAAAGAAGGAGATTTGAGTCGTGGACTAGTGCGTCCGTTCCCTACTGGGGCCGAGCCTGGAGTCTTGTCTACATGCATATCACATATACACTGTGTGGACATCTTTCGTTTACGGCATGACAGAAAACATTGATGACCTTTCACATCTGTTCTCCTTGTGTACGCTCCATATTTTAAATGTTTTAAAGCCAACTTCAAGCGCAGCGGTTATTCATTACACTTTAGGGCACGCGACGTACCAGCTTCGCCAGGCAGAATTTCTTAATTATTAGTCTGTTACCTTAAATTTGTGGTTAACCACCCCCCCCCTTCACCTTTCACCATTCACTTTTTGTGAGGTAGGCAATATACTGTGCTTGCCCAAACATATTATTTTTAAATTAAACCCACACTTGACGTATGGAAATGTAATCGAATAAACGGTTAAGCAGGTGACTATGTTTGCACTTATGTTGTTATCAGAGTGCCAAAGCCGCAGCTCACATGAAATCACGTGCAAAAAATGTCGGCGCACTAATGCAATTTGACAAGCAGACGTTGCTATTAGCAATAGTTGTCATTCGCAAGTCCTGCACCTGACTCCCTACATTACTGAGGCAATGTCTGAGCACCGAATACAGAGCGCAGTGTTTGGTGCGCTTGAGTGAATACCAGAAAATTATGACGCAAACATTAGGCCATTCATGTGCCTGTCAGAATGGAATTATGTCAGTGAAGACCACACTTCAAATGATAGCGCGCACAAAGGCCAATGTTTTATTGTCATAATTAAAGTACCAACGTGTTTAGATTTGAGGGTTCCTTTTCCAGTGTACTGTTAAAGATTCGCCTTAAATGTCATACCTAAGGTAGAGGGGACAACATTCGTATACTGCTTATTGAAAAAAATATTTCGCTATATTTGGCTTTCGAGACATAAACACGTTCGTGTTTTCCCTTGCTTTCCTTTGAGGATATGAATTGTACTTTACATTGCGCTAGATCCCGTACAGATCATTGTGCAGACCATAACTGCGGCTCAGAAATTGCATAGTGTTCGTCGCTTTTCGGAACACTTTTGTTTTTAGGCCGCCACCGTCATTACAGCAAAAAGGGACGTCCAGGAAGGCCAATTGTTTGTTTTCGTGTTCCTTCATTGTAAACTGCATGTCCTGGAAGACGATACATAGTAGTTCATCGAATGACTCCACCGATCCCGCTCAATTAAAACAAAGTTTTCGTCCATATACCGAGATCAAAATTTCGGTTAGTGGTGTCGAAAATTCAGCGACCCTAACCGTTGCAAGACTGCCTCGGCTATGAACTCGGAAATTGGCGATACTATGGGCCTGTCCCTGATCTGTTTTTAAGTGGTTCCACTGAAGAATAAACATGTCTTGAGAAAGACAGTGATCGCATCTATTTATCCGTTATCCATGACATCGGGCCAACAACGGTAGGTGAGAGATAATTGTTGAGATTTTGGCGTATATTGCAAAACACATTTGCTGCAATATTCCGTCGAAAAGAAACCAAGTTTCATACTGGTTGATACCACTCACCCTACACAACACAAGTAGGTACTGCCGTACGAGCGAACATAGGAGTCCCGCACAGTAACTGAGATCGGTGGAACAATATTCCTATTTGCCTGACGTTTTGGCATCCTTCTTGGATTTGTGTTACACGAAGTAATAGACGATAGAACGTATCCCAACACTGATAAGCTATTTAATATGATTCGGCGTGGAAGGCCAAAGTTTTATGGATAATTTAATGAATTGTTGAATGAGTAGAATAAAAGAAATGAGTAAGTGACTCCCAGACTAGTGCACTTCAGCCATGAGTGGGCCAAAGTCAAGAGTCGCATTCCGGTCGGTGTAGTCGCCAGGTCTGTAGGTCTGCAACAGACAGTAGATCGCCTGTTCCGAGAGTGCATGATAATAAGCAATCACCAAATTTAAGGTCCCTTTTTGACTTGGCCTCGGGAAGTGTTTGGCCAGTTGGC